ACTCCGTTAATAACTGCTCAATTTTGATCCATTCCCTTTTGATTTTTCCAATAGCTATATTCATACTTTGATATCACTCCTAGAAACTCTAACAAAATTCTGCCACCATTTTAATCGGGAGTTTTCGTAGGAGATTTTTGTCTCCCTGCGATGTAATTAACTACGAGGGCTTGCGCTCGTAGGAGATTTAGAACCCCACACACCTGATTTTAAAATTGATTTTAAAACTTCACTAGATTTCTTTGGGAAAAGTTAAAGAATGATCGTCATCGTTGCATTAGAAGAATTATCGTAGAATGGTATTATCATTTCCCTTTGGGGAGATACATCCTTCTTCGATAAGGCTTTGGATGTGAAAGCGACGATCATACTTCTTGAATATTGTAATTGGGTATTTAGCTGAACTCTACTTTGTTCCTTCGGGTCCATATGAAGTTCTCTTTAGGACCCGATCATAATATTCAAGATGAGTTTACATAATTCTATGTCTGAACACCGTTATGAAAGTTTATCTTTGTCCCCCGGGGTGATATACTCTTTCCAACGAGTTGATTCGACCTTAGAATTAGAGCTCAACCTTAATCTTAAAATCCCCAAAGAAAACTAATATTTTTAAAATATGTTTTCAAAATTCCACCAACACCCCATAATATAGAAATTTGGAGCAAATGGTGTTAATCACCTTGCAACACCCTTTGGGAATGATGGAACTTCTAACCCAGTAAGCAAGGATATTATAGATAGTATGTTTGAGATATTGAAATCTACCAGCAATGGAAAGATTTTTGGCTTTCCAACCATCTAAGGATCCTTGGAGTTTTTGAAGAAGGGTCTGAAAATTAGACTTTTTAAGTCTCTTGCAAAAAATAGGAATGCCTAAATATTTGATAGGGGAGTGAACTAAAGGGATGTTCAAAGTGTTAGATATGACCTCCTCATCAGGCACATTATTAGAAAAGATAATAGTGCTTTTGGTACTGTTAACATGGAGACTTGAAATGCTAGCAAAGTCAAGTAAGATGCTATTAAGAGTGTGGGCATTCTCAACAGTAGCCCTGCCAAAGACTAGCAAATCATCAGCATAAAGAAGGTGAGTTATGGAGACATTACGAGAGTCAATTCCTTGAAAAGTGTTGCTAAGAGTGGCTTCCTCAAAAAATTTGAAAGGCTATCCATAACTAGGCAGAAAAGATAAGGAGAAAGTGGGCAACCTTGTTTGAGCCCAGAGGAAGAGTTGAAGTAACCTTCAAGCGCACCATTGATAGAAACCGAGAAATGAACATCATATATGAAGCCTTTGATCCAAGAGACAAAGGTATATGGAAACCCTTTAGCAATCATATGGTTTAGAAGAAAATCCCTTGATATAGTATCAAAAGCTTGGTGGATATCATACTTAGCACAAAACATTTTATACTTATCCTTAGCATTGAATTCCATAAGCAAATCCAAAGCTAAAAGGATGTTGTCATATATGATCCTGACTTGAATAAAACTAGCTTGGCTAGGGTGAATAATGTAAGGCATAACCTCTCTCATCCTGATAGCCAGGATTTTAGCAATAATCTTATAGAAAGTGTTACAAAGAGAGATGGCCTGTAATCAGAGATGTTGCTGGCATGAGGTTTATTAGTAATTAAGGTTATGGCAGTAGCCTTAGCTTGCTTAGGAAGAGAGCCCGTAGAAAAAAAAGGACAAAATACCCATACATAAAACTTGACAATGATGTTCCAGGCAAATTTATAAAATTTAAAAGTATACCCATCTGGACCATGAGCCGAATAATTAGGGGAAGAGAAAATCACATTCTTAATCTCATCCACAGTGATGGGCGATACAAGTTGGGGAACAAGAGTAGCAGGGAGTTTGTGGAGAATAGGAGCTTCCCGGCCATGGTTCGAAGGGGGAGGAGGGGTATTAAACAACTTTTGGAAATGCTAAATGATAGCATTGGAGATCTCTAAATGAGTATTATAAGTCTCATTGCTAGTGGATATAACTTTAATCAAATTAGTGTTGTGTCTAACATTAATCCAAGAATAGAGAAATTTGAGGTCATCCTCACCACTAGACATCCATTTAGCTTTAGCAAGTTGGATAATCTAATCAGACCATTCAGCATTTCTCTCAATAAGTTTATGATTGGTATCCTTTAAAACTAGGTTGAGTTCAGGGTCAAGAGGAGAGTCCTGAAGTTGAGAGATAATGAAATTTTGGCTGTGATTAAGCTCAGTGATTTCTCTCTGCAGAGAGTTGGAGGAGGACCAATTTTTGGTTTTGATCTTAAGTTTGAGAGTCTTGAGCTTTTGGTAAAAGGAGTGTCTAGGGCTACTGTGAAATTTTTGAGAAAAAAATGAGATAAGATCATCCCAAATCTCCGATTTAGAAACCCAGTAATTTTTGAATTGAAACCTGTGTTTCAAATGAGGATTAACACCATGTTACAAAACAATGGGAGAATGGTCAAAGATATAAGGATCATCCACAATATAGAATGAATTCGGGTATCTTTCCAGCTAAGCATCATTGACCAACATCCTATCTAACTTGATATGAATGGGGTTGTCGGTTCTCTGATTGAACCAAGTAAAATAGTGTCCCACCGAAGAGAGCTCATGAGCCCTAATATTTAAAATAATATTTTGAAAATCCAAAAGCTTGTTGTTGTGAAGCAAAGAGCCACCAGCTTTATCGTGGGGAAATATACAGCAGTTGAAGTTACCTAAGATAATCCAAGGTGACGAGATAGAAGTGGCAAGTTCATAAATCTCATACCAAAGCATTCTCCTTTCCTCCATAGAGTTAGAGGCATAAACCACAAAAATACATAAATTCTCATTAAGGTTCGTAGTCAACAATCCATGAATAAGCTGATGGAAGTAAAAAAAGGTTTGAAACTCACATTAAGTGAGTTCCATTTGATCCAGATCCTGCCCGGGGAGGCGCAGGCAAAGTTATCATAAGAGCCTTCTTGAGTAAAAATGCATCGATTAGAGAGAAACAGTGAGAGGATGTGAGTTGGTTTCCAATCATAGAGAACAGTGAGAGGAAAAACTTTCCCGTCAACGGTATAATAAATCTCATCAGGAAGAGGGGAGGTACTGCTAACATGGACACACACCCTAGCAAAGGTGAGCCTATTTTTTACTTCCGTGAGGGCATCTACAGCAAGAGGTATCCCAACGCAGCTGGCAATTTTGGAAATCCCTTCTGGCGTCCAACAGGAAAGTGGAAAGTTTTTTATTTTGATCCAAAGAGGGATCGATGGAAACTCTTCACATATAGGGACAAAATCTGGCGTCCACTTTTACAAGATGAAAGGCTTACCAAAAAAGAACCAAGGTCCTCCAGACCAAGCCATATCGTAGTCCTTTCTATTGTTAAACTTAAGGAGGAAGAAACTGTCGTCCAAGGTCAGCAAAGAGAGAGAACCCTTTAGAGAACAAGTTTTTTTGATAGTGGAGAAGAGGGCTTCATAATAAGGTACACGGCCGATGGAATACCCCACCAGAGATAGAGCCCAGTCTGGAGATCCAGCGTTAAACTGAGCCGAAGTGAAGTGAACAGTGGCGTTCTCGGTCGGATGGTCAGAAATTGAAGAAGTGAACTCATTTGACGCAAGAGGCTGAGTGGTGATGAGACTCTTCCAATCTCGAGGAAAGCTAGCAGAGCAGGAAGGATTACTAGGGGGGAGGAGCAGGGGAAGGTTGGAGGAGGACATCTCGGAGGAGATCCTCCCCAGAGTAGCAGAGGAGGAGGTGGCCAGAAATCACAAAGGAGAAAACCTAGCAGAGCCTCACGCTAAAACCTACAGTTCTAAACTTCTCTCTCTAGTCAAAATTCCTCTATTCAAATTGAATCCTCCAAGGAAATTCGGGAGTTTTCTAAAAAGAAAGCTAAAGAGACGTCAATAGTGGAATAAAGGTAAGTTCCATAAAAAATGCTAAGGCTTCTAACGATGTTATTAGCTATAAATGCAGGAAGCTTGGATAAATCAAATTGGATTGCTTGAATCTTAAAGTCAATCCTTGTAAGGAAAGGTCAAGGAGAAAAGTAATATAAGGAAGGGCAAGAAGGGATTATAGAGAGTATTTTGGGTGGACTCAATTTTAGATTCTTTAAAAATAGAAATATAGGAGGAAGTCACCAACCTGTGTTTGATGGCTGACAATCTTGATCAATAAGATCAAAAAGAAGTATGTGACTTAACCTATGAATAGTTATTTGATGTTTCTAAAAAAAATCATATTGAATATAGAAAATTGAAAAAGATGCATGCTAGGTTGAATTTAGATTTTCTAGAATTACAAAAAAAGCATGAAATCCTTAGGAAAGATCACACACTGATTCATAGCATCCATATGAAACTATTGGATGAGTTTGATGAATAGAAAAAACAGCATAAACTATTAAAATTATCCTACACTAAACTTGAAAATGTTTTTAAAATGTTTATATATGAATATAATATTATAAAGCATTATTTAAAAGTTGATAATGCTATGTTAGAAAGTGATAACTTATTTTTTAAAACTGACTTGAAAGCATTTGAGGAAAACAGGATTATATCAACACTTGAATAATTTTCCAATCCTGATAAGAAGCCTAAATTTTTAAAATCTAGGAAAAGATAGTTTCACACACGTTGATTAATAAATCCTTTTCTTGGAGTTAATATTTTTATTATGGAATGATTGGCCATATATCTCATACTTTCACTATTCATAGTAAATTATATCTAGTGTGAAGACCAAAGATGCATAAAATAAAGCATATCAAATATACATCTAGATTAACTTTTCTAAGAGGAGAATCTAAACTTGTTTGGGTTCCCAAGATCATTGTTTGATTATCTTGTAGAAATGCTCTCATACAAGACCTCATGAGAGAATTTGGTATCTGGATAGATAATGTTCTAAGTATATGATTAGAGACACTATACAATTCATATCGCTGGAAGCTATGAATGGAGGCAAAGTTATACTGGGAGACAATACCACTAGAAAAGTGGTAGGCACAGGTATGATTGGAAACTTGAACTATTTTTTCTTTGATAATTTTTAACTTTTACAAGGCTTAAAGCATAATGTGCTGAGTATTAATCAGTTATGTCATAAGGTTGTAGTATAAAATGTTTTCCCACTAGCTACATAATAAGCCAAAATGGAATTGATGTTTTGAATAGAATTAGGGTAAATAATGTGTAAATGTTTGATTTGAATTATATTAAATCTCCTATTACTTTTTATTTAAAAATAATTAGTGATGAATCATAGTTATGGAATAAGAGACTTTGTCATGCTAGCATGAAAAATCTTAAAAAAATTATCTAAAAAGCACTAGGTAGAGGAATACAAAAACTATACTTTACTAAGAATCACATGTGTGATGCATATCAACTATGAAATTAGGTAAAGTCCTCCTTTCAATCCATTAAGGTTCTTAGAATTAGAAAACTGTTGGAAATCATTCACATTAATCTTTTTGAACCAGTTAGCACTATAAGTCTAGGAGATAAAGTATTTGGATTTGTGATTGTTTATGATTTTTCTAGATTCACTTGGGTTAAATTTTTATGAGGAATTTAGAAGTTTTTTTTATGTTGATTCTAAGAAAAGACTAGGGTGTGAGATTTTATCAATTCAAAGTGATCATGGAGGAGAATTTGAAAATAAAAAATTTGAAGATTTTTATAAAGAGAAAGTAATTGATCATAATTTTTCAACTCCTAGAACCCCTCAGTTGAATGGAATAGTAGAAATAAAGAACATAATATTAATTAAAGATTCTAGAGCCATATTGGCAGAATATTTACTTCCAAAAAAAAAATATTTAGGCTGAAGCGGTTGGTACAACTTGTTATGTTCTGAATAGGGTGAACATTAGATCTAAATTATATAAGACACCCTATGAACTTCTTAAGAGAAGAAAACCAAATTTGTCACATTTGCATATTTTTGGATATAAGGTATTCATTCATAATAATGGGAGAACTCCTTTAGGAAAATTTGATCAAAAATCTGATGAAGGGATTTTTCTTGGATACTCTAGTGTCAGAATATCTTATAGAGTTTTTAATAAGAGAACTTTAGTAATTTATGAGACCACACAAGTTGTGTTTGATGAATCTAGCATTTTGGAAGAGTCAAGGTTGGAAGATGATCATATTAAAAATAACTCCCAAGGAATTAAAAAGATAAATTTAAAAGAAAAAGTGAAAAAAGAAAACCCTTTGCCTAAAGAATGGAAATTTTCTATGAATCACCCTAAGGAATTTATTTTAGGTGAACCTAGTGAGGGTGTGAGGACTAGGTGTAGACATAACAAAGAGGTGAACCATTCTGCCTTTGTATCGATGGTTAAACTCACAAACATAAATTAGGCACTTTTAGATAAATTTTGGATTTTAGCCATGTAAAAAGAGCTGAATCAATTTGTAATAAATGACGTTTGAGAATTGATTGAAAGGCAAAAGGATCAAATTATTATTAGAACTAAGTGGGTATTTAAAAATACAATGAATGATTCAGGAGTTATGAGCGAGATTAGTATTCAAAGGGTATAATCAAATAGAATGGATTGATTTTCAAAAGACTTTTGCCCCTATATCCAGACTTGAAGCAATTAGGGTTTTGTTAGCCTTTACCTATTTTAAAGGTTTTAAATTATATCAAATGGATTCCAAGAGGGCCTTTTTAAATGGGGTGATATAAGAGGATGTTTATGTTGAGCAACCCCTAGGTTTTAAAAATTCTAAATTCCTTAATCATGTATATAAATTAAAAAAGATATTGTGTGGACTGAAATAGGCACCTATGGCTTAGTATAAGAGATTAAGCACTTTCTTATTAGAGAGATCTTTTGTGAAATGAAGTGTGGACACCACTCTCCTTTTTAAGAAGATAAGAGATGATATACTAATTGTTCAAATATATGTTGATGACATCTTGTTTGAATCTACAAATAAAATCTTTGCAATAATTTTTAAAAAAAAATGAGTAGTGAATTTGAGATGAGTTTAATGGGAGATTTGAATTATTTTCTTGATTTTAAAATAAAGCAAAATGAGGAAGGAAATTTTCTTAATCAGTTGAAGTATATTAAGAAAATTCTCAAGAAATATGAAATGGATAACGTTAAACTAGTTCTTATACATATTAGTTTCGATCTCAATTCAATTAGATAACGATCCAAGGGGAAAATATATAGATTAAAAGAGAAATAGAGGTATAATTAGATCCTTACTTAACTTAACTATTAACATACCATATATAATGTTCAGCGTTTGTTCGTGTGCTATATTTCAATCTAATCCAAAAAATCAAATTTGATAGTAGTAAAAAGAATTCTGATATATCTTTTGGGAACTCAAAACTTAGGGATCTGATATCCTGAGCATAACTCTTCGTTTGAAATTTTTGGATATTTTGATTCATATTTTATAGGTTGTAGGGTTGATTAGAAAAGTATATCTAGAACTTGTCAATTTCTAAGAAACTCTTTAGTTTCTTGGTCCAGTAGAAAGTATAATTCAGTAGCACTATCTGCTACTGAAGCATAATATAATGTCTTAGGTAGTTGTGTGGCACAAATTCTTTGGTTCAAATAATAATTGATTGATTTAGAATTTTCAACTTGCACAATTCTAATTTTTTTATGGTAATACTAGTTTCATATGCATTTCAAAGAATCTTATTCAACATTCTAGAACCAAGCATATAAACATAAGGCATCACTTTATTAGAGATCATGTAGCTACGAGAGAGATTAAATTAAATCATGTTACTACAAAAATTTAACTTGCAGATATTTTTACAAAACTACTGGCCTTTGACACTTTTAGCACCTTAAGAACCAGGTCAGATGTGATAAATCTTAATGCTTAAATTAAAAATTCTACAAACTTGATGTGTTGTAAATTAGTTTATTTCTTTTTATTTATTTTGTTCATTTTTGTGTGTTTAGTTTTGTAATTTTCATTTTAGTTTTATTTTTACTATGAAGCATATTACTTGATGAAAAATGATTAGTTTTAAGAAGATTTTCTGATTATCATGCCTTATTTTCTAAGTGTTTGGTTCGTACTGTAAAAAAATATTTTCATTCCATACGAATTCAGTAGCATGTGCATGATAGGTTTCAGAGTTGAGCATGTAAAACTTAGTTTTTTAGAGGGTTCATATTGTATGATAATATCATCATATTGTACAATATATACAATTTCATCTATATGCATGGGGACAGTTTATCAGTTGGAGTCAGTTATTAATTGATGAACATACATATTTTGTCTACACGATTCAGTTGTCAGCTTCTGTAGGGGACGAACCTAACCATGTTTAAAATGATCTTTAATATTTTGATCATCCCAGATGAACACTTATTTTTCTATATGATTGTCTGGTCAAAAAGTCTATACGAAAGGATGCCTCATAAATGGCACTTTACAAAAAGTTGTTTCATTTTTTGCCATTTCCATTCGTACGTATGAAAAAAATTTTCCCCTAAATGATTTTAAAATTATACGTATGATCTATGTTTTGTACGGTACGATAGGCTATTTTCTTTTAATTAGAAGAGTCTTTGAAATCCTTTTCATTCACTTTCATATCCATTTCAAAATCCTCTAGAGCCCTCATCTTAGGAATGGAAAGTTCTAGTAAACATCCACGTCTTTCTAAGGGTTCTTCTTCTAGAAGCAGTAGGGATGATAACTTTCTATCTAAGGAGAATGAGGATGCCTACTTTAGGCATTCTTCTGCCAAAATCTCCCCTTCTCGACTTCTTATTCAGAGTGATCTTTACTTTTCTTTCATGCCCTTATTTGCTTTGAATCAACTTTCTTTCATCCTTACTTTCATATATGCCTACCACAAAGAGACTTTCCAATACTTCTTGGCCAAGATGAGAGTTAATGCGGACCACTTTAAGATTACTTCATATGTTCAGAAACAAAGAGTAGAAATTACCAAGGAAGATTTAGATAACTTTCTTTGTCTGAGAAACTAAGGGATTTGAGCCCACACTCTGACCTCAAGAGTTGATTTTGATTGGACTAAAATTAATCAAACTCTTAGAGGAGACTCCTAAGTATGTCATTTTTCTAGGATTTAAACTCTAAATCAAAATGTATGGGTCATCCAACATATTTTAAAAAATTATTTATCCCAAAAGTTGGTGATCACATAAATATGACTCCACTTTTGTCCACATTCTCCTATATGATTATGACTGAAAACCCCTTTAATGAAGCCGAACTCATCATGGACTATATTTATAATCTTTTTGAAATTGGACTTCCACATCATAAAAGAAAGAAAAACATGGTTTTAAGACATCTAGTAGCCTATATCCTAGAAAAGAAGTATAATCTGATCTATTCTGATCCTCCCATAGAACTTCCTATTTACTTCATTGATGCCTCTTTTAGGGTACTTTTTGGATGGGATCAGAGTTTTGAGAGTGATGATTCCCAAGAAGAAGGGGGAGCTCCTGCTCTCGCACCTGAACCTGACTAGAGTTTTTATGAGGAAATGGTCCAGCTCTTTGATAGAATGGAGACTCATTTTGATCAATGCTTTGATCAAATTGAGAATCACTTAAACCAGTAGGATACCAGGCCTGCTGCATGCGGCCTGCATGATCTTGCACGTTCGGGGCGAGGCTAGAGCGTCTAGCGCGAGGTAGGGCCGGAAATCGGAAACGCGGCTAGGCGAGGCCAGCGACGTCCGTGCGAGGCTAGCGCAGGATTCGGGTTAAACGGGTTGACCCGCATGTTGTCGGGTCAATCCGAAACCGACCCGTTTTTCAAACGGGTCATTAATTCAAACCCTGATCCGCCCATTTCACAAACGGGTTGACTCGAACCCGGATTTTTAGTGTCGGATTCTTGAGTCGTGTCAAAAATTGACACCCCTATCTACCTCTAAATCTCTTCTGATTTTGAAATTCATCTTTACATATTTTGCATACACAATTTTTTTCATATTAATTTATTTCAATAAATAAGGATAGAATCTGGTCCTCCTTTAACCATAAAAAGCTGAAGCCATCCAAACAGATCCAAAAGCATATTCATGGGTGTGGGAATGGCGACATCTTCATGTCGTCTACCACGACATTCAAGCCGCATGCCTCCTTGCCAGTTGGTATTGACCTTCGCGTCATTGGTTTTTTCTTCAATGGTCGCCAACCCATATTTCATGATAATGGATATGGAGATGAGCCTGCTATGCACTTTTGGAAAATGTCCTCGTCGTCTGTCTGCTCGAAAATGGTGGAGAGGGGGTGGCCACCGATGGGCCGGCGATGGTGACTGCACACCGTATTCGACAGTCGTTAATAAAGCCACAATTCAAATCAACTTGCATGAAAGAGTTACTTACCAAATGAGTGAAAGTCTATCCGACAACAATATTGAATTTGTCAATTAAAACGTCAAGCCTACTCGATCTCCTAAGTATAATTTATTTATCTAATACATAAAAGCTAATTTTTAGCTAAAATTGAAGTAACCGGATCAAGCAGGAGCAATCCAACATCACAGATGATTAGTGAATAGAAGTTTTCTGGGAGCCGCACAAATATTGAGAAAACATAGGGATCCAATTTGCCAGCAAAGGTGGCGATGGGTCCTCATGGTTGTATCCAAGTATTTGTCAGAGAAACTCAAGGTCATAGACTCGTAATAGCTCACCAACTGGACATATATATAAAGATCATCGATCTAGCTAGATAAGCTGCATGAAAATAAAGGCATTTCATCACTTGTACACATCATATGGATGCTCATAGTGAGCTTGCCAGACGCCGGTCTTCTTCACGGAAAATTATTAGGTGCGGAGATCGGATGTAGAGGTACGTTCGGATTCCAATAAAATATTTACATGTGGAGTAGACAAATTGGATTTGTTTTTTACTTTATATATTTAACGTGTCTGCGGAACTTTAAGCCTAGCTCATCAAAAGCGCAGCCAGAGCGCAGGTAAATTATAGATAAAGTGCAGGTAAAACGCAGTTAAAATGCAATAAAAAAGTGTAATAAAAGAACATTGAAAGTGCAAATAAAATACAACTAATGTATAAAAAAATCTTTTAAAAAAAAAGTGCAATAAAGACACATCGTTCACTTGTTAGATTTTCAATGGATGTTTGGCTACTTCTGGTGTTGGCACATAATAATTTTCGAGCGGTAGAGAGAGGAGGGCGGGCGTGCGTGTCTCTGCCGCGATCTTGTGCATGCTCTGCTCGGCCCAAGCAAGCAAGAAGCAATAGGTACCTTCTTCCTCCTCTTCTTCCCTATTCAAAACTAAATAGCCGCCCCTTCTTCTTCCTCTTCTTCTTTCCTCTTTGAAAACCATAGCAGCCCCTTTTTCTTCCTCTTCTTCTTTCTTGCTTGAAAACTACAGCAGCACCTGTGTACTTATCTTTCCTCAAGACAAGAAAATATAAGCTATCAAATGATGTTCTCTTGCTTTCACCATTTAAACATTTAATAGTGGCAAAGAACATATACTGCAATCAATTTTTTTTTTTTTTTTAATGATCTAGATCAAAAACTATTTTGGATCCTTCCTATCCTTTCACCCTGGGGTTTTCCTCTCTTTTGGGGTTCGATTTCGGCAAACAAACGGGAGAGTGAGAGAAGAGCAAGAGCTTTCGTCCTTCCGGTATGCTATAGTTTCGATCTTCTCACCCTCTAGTCGTGGTGTTAGAGAAGGGAATAGCAGGAGAGCCGTAATCAAAATTCCAACACAAAATATGTCTAAAATCCTAAAGCTGCAGATGTTTCTCTTCGTGGCCGATATATCTGATAAATAGATTAAATTTCTTATCAATTTTTTTCTATGAAGGGAATTTAATATGCTCAGTATTTTACCACTTATTCGTGATGTTTGATAATCAGCCTTCCCCTGTTGCTTACAAGTGTATTTTGATATTCTTGTTACTCAGCATGAATTCTGTGCTAACGGTCAAAGAAGATGAACCTTTATGAATATGTCCATTGCCCTTATTTCAATATGATTATGGGCATATGCATATTCATGAATATATCATTCTAGAAACAATTACCTCATGCGAGCAAACCATATCTTAGTGGAATGATGGAGAAAACAGTGAATTCTCAAAAGCATCTTTATATTTCAAATCCATAGTCTGCTTTACTAGATTTGTTGACAAATATGAAGTCTCTGAAAACTAAAGACATTTTGGGCTTCTTCTTCTCTTTATTTTGTTAAGTATTTCATATAATGAGTTTTGGTTGGAGGGGTATGAGGTGATTTGCTCTTTACCTTATCAATAGGATTATACAGGTTACTTTTTCACTTGTTCAATAATGAGATTATGCCAACATTCAAATATAATGGGTTGTTGTATATATGGTGGTTCTTCATATATTATTATGGGTTGAATTGTTTCATGAGCCTCATTCATATGCATTCAATACAGAGGTGAATGATCATGTTGAAAAATTTGCACCTGTTAATGTATCATTGGTATAACATATGATTAGCATCACAGATTTATATAGAATTGTTGGAAGATTAATATACACATTCAAGTTGAAACATCAATTTAATGCGAGATTTTGTGATTATATTGAGTACATATTTTATGCCCCGGTTTTGATATATGATTCATGACTATATCAATTTCACATTTGTGCTTTATATTCTAGTGGTGTACATGTTCAATGTATAATGATTTTGATTTCTCATCTCCTTGTGATTATCTTTTGCAAAGTTCATCTTCATAGAATGCAATACTTGTTACATTCAAATGACATAAATTTCATTCTTCCCTTGCTTAATCCCATCGATATTATGGGGAGAATGGACATTGATGTTTTACCTTATAAATTATGGAATACTTTTTTTTCTTGATTCCAATGCTTATAGTTTCTTTTTTTAGGTTTCAAAATCATAAAAGGAAGATTTTCTTGCATGGGCTACTCTTTACTTGTTCATTTAGCAGCATTGTGATAACAATTGAGAGTGGAAGATTGGGATTGTAAGATGATTTGTGATCCATTTTACAAACAGCTAAATCAAAGGGATGACATGGTTTCTCTCCTTCGTTCTAATATCTGCTGGTTGGGGGCATCCTTTATTTGAATTATTTCATTCTCTTTTATGGTACATAATGATTTAAAGGTTGTTATTCATACTTTTCATATTGAACTTTTTTCGACTTGGGCAAAAGAATATTTTAGTGAAAGTAGAGAAGTTCATTTTATGCAAAGTTAATGGATTTGATGATCCATTTTAATATGATTAGTTGTTTGCATCTTGATATTGTTGAATGGCTCGATGTAGATATATATAAATGTGAGGTTTTAGATAATCATATCAAACTCAACATGCTTATATAAGAAATATTTTGGGGAAAGAGAAGTGAAATCACCCCTCTTATTATTGTGTTATAATTTTGCAAGAAGCAGCATAATGTTAAAAATGATTTTCTCCTGTTTATAGCTTTATGATTTGGTCAAGATATCTTTATTAAGTCCAGGGAAGTATTGTGAACATTGACTGTTTCATTTTTTTTTTATGTTATGGGGCTTATACACACACGTCAATCCAATAGTATCCATCTAAATTCACTTTTTCTTTAAGCGGATTTGTTGTTAGTTGGTTATCTATGTGAATTTTTTTACTAATCCTTATATGGAGAGTTCTGTGTTGTTTGTTTTTACACACTCAATGACAAGCAAGAAATATGGAAATTCTACCAGGTATATACTCATTAGTTCATATTTTTATAGAATGATATTTTAGATGGTTATGTTTTAATAAAATAAAACTTGTATTGCAAATAAATGTCACAGCTTAGCTTATATTATTTGAAATCATACCTCTCCTCTTCATTATTCTTTACTTTGAATTCTTGCAATAAAAAAAAGAGTTGATATATAGTTTTGGAAGATTTTGCAATCGTCAACTTCTCATCATGAACTAGAAAGCACTAAAATATTTTATTGATAGTTCACAAAGTGCTGAAATCTTCCTATTATGTATTACATGTGCTGAAATTCCTTTCTATTCTTAAGAATACACGCTGAAATTGTTTTTATGAGATATTACATGTGCTAAAATTCCATCCTATACATGAGAATACATGCCCAAATTGTTTCATCAGTTGGTTTTGAGAGGTTACCTGTAACCTTTTGTGAGGGGAAAAAAAGAAAAGAAAAAGAAACCATTGATGTCGTCAAACATTAATAAGTTTTCCCAGGGAGACAAATACTTAGCTTTCTTTGTTTACTGGCGTCAGTGATTGAATCTTGATGATGGTGAATATCAAACGTTGTTATTTTATTACTCTTGACTTTAATACTCAATGATTATGTATTAGCCATTAAAGGAATGCGGAGGACCTGTTAATTGCATGTATACTTTTTACCCTCTACAGTTGACTGAATCGATGAAATGGAATGTGTTCTTTCATCTCGTTTCTTTAATAGAAGTTTGTCTTGGCTAATCTATGTTGCGGTTGTAGTTTATTTTAATAACTATTAGATAATCGTTTACTATCTATCCATGTGTATGCTGCCATGTCCTATTTATACAGCATAGTGGGTTACACTAGCTATACAGAGAAATAAACTTTGTAATGTCAGAGGTATCTTTACCTCGATATCATAGAGTACTCCCGCTATATATATATATATATATATGCAAGATGTTGGGGGACTTTCATTGCTTAAATAGCTATGCACATATGTTCTCGAGGTTCGGTAGCAAGTTCTTATTTATATGCACACTGTGATGCTTTATTTGGACTGTGTACATGGAGGTTGTGATGTTTTACTGATCTGAAATAAAGATTCATATTAATATTGCAAGGGAATGTATCTTCGTATTGTGTGCATTGTCTTCTCAAATCTTTTATGTGAATATAAAATACGGACATCTCGTCATTTCTACTCTTTTTAACATTCAATGAGTATGTAGACCGGCTGTTATAGCATTGATGTGGAGCTTATGGGCCGTAAAGCAAATATATTTTGTTCTCTTTGTGATTGGTTGATTCAGCAAAAAATTTAGTGAATGTCTTTGCCCTGTCATTAGAGTATGGGCCTTGCTAAGTTGCTTACTGTTTCAATTATTGACTCCTATTCTTTATCTGGGTCGCTTGCATGCTGATATACATATTTATTCATTGAAGGAATTCACTACTAACTTTTTTTTTGTTTGTTTGAAAGATGCAACACCTTTGCATTAAACTCAAAGAACTATTTCAAGCTACTAAACAATACTAACACATTCCTCTTTTAAAAAACCAAGAAAGGAAAGAGGAACATTATTCAAACTAATATCATCCCAAAGAAAATTGCTAGAAAGAGCAAAATTAATACATAAGTCTGCTTAAAAAAAATTAAAAAAAATAACACATAAGTCTGCTAACTTATTACAATTCCTATAAGTACAATTAAAAATAGCAAGAACATCCAACCAGTGTCCACCCTTGAAAACATCCATCTTCCTCAATGAGTTTTGAAGAAATTTGATAATATTATAATTTTCCCCTTCAATAATAATACCCTTATATTTGAACATCCAATCTTGAATGACATTCTTAAGTGAATGAATAGATAAAAGCTCCAACCGTGTACACAACTACAACCAAAGGCTAACAGAAATCTTCCTTTGCTATCATGGAAAACACCTCCAACATTAGCTTTATACGAAGGTAGTAAAGAAGTGTCAATAGTTAACTGATCCAATCGGGAGGAGGAGGGTGCCAATAATTTAACAGCCTTTGAGACTGATTAACACCCTAGTGGTCCAAACTTAATAAACCAGCAAAATAAGAAACTAAAGCATAACTAACTGAGTTAGTAGCAATAACCATAGTAGTTTCTTCATTACTCCATGTAAAACCTTATTCCTAACCTTCCAAGGTAAAAAAACCAGTGTAATACAGATTTACCCAAAAACCATTCTTAGAAACAAGATCATTCAGCCAACTACAACATTCTTCAAACTCACCGAAGGTAGGAAGACCAAAGCCCCACTTATTCAATCACTGAATTACCTCAATCAGTTTCACGCACTTAACAGCCACATGTTCTTGGTCTTCTATCACATTACATCCTCTAAGATATACATTAACATCTTGCAATCTTCTATATGTCAGAGATTGAAAAGTCGGAATAACATTATGGAACATTCGCCACCAGAAAACCTCCACCCGTGAGTTAAGCTTTGCCTTCTTAATCCATTCCCAGTGAGTTCACTACTAACTCAACTGCTAAATGTTTGCTCTTTGTCCGTATATATGCAACATTTCTTTAGCAGGATCTTGAAGACTACTCCAGAGTGGTGTTAACGAAGGAACGAAATTAATTTCTTAGGAATCTCTAAACTATTTGCTGATTGCTTCATTCTCTATTAATTAAGTACTTTTATATGGATCTGAGCATGACTTTTGCAACTAGCTATCTTGGGGATAGTAAGCACTCTTCTCCACAATCATCCTACAGTCAATCAATTTAATTTCTTTTTATGCATTTCTTAAGTTTGCCAACATTCATGATGAAGATAATTGTCTATTTTATATCAAATGAATTAATGTAATGGCTTTGGAAGAATTATGACATGTATATAACAATTATCAGCTATGATACACCAACATATCTCCTCAAAGAGGAGTGTAGTGTCCGACACGTATCTGACACGCCTCCGACACGTGTCAAACACGTCAAAAATGTGTTTGATTAAAAAATATTAAATATAAATTGGACACGCGTGTCCGACAAGCATATCTTAAATATTTTATGAATTTTTTTATAAATATAATTTTTTTGTATTAAGAAAAAATTTATTTAAAAGTAAAACAAAATTTCTGATTTCCTATCTACAACATCAAATCAATCGTTTGCACTTAATAACTCATTCATCAAATATTTTCATTTTCATTTATCTTTGGCGGGTCACTTTTTTGTCTTCACAATATTATCCAATGTCATCTTAGCATCGACGTCTGAAGTTGTTACAACATCGACCTTTCAAAATCATCTCAACATCAAAGTTTGACACTGTCATGATATTGATATTTGATGCTAGCAATCTTTATACCTTCAACTTGACAGCTCATCTTTTGTCTGATATCATCATAACATTGTCGACATATACACTCTTGATATTGACACCCGATACTTATTGCAAAACATTGATGACTGATTCTCGATAGCATTGACGTCTCCTCTCTTGATGCATGATAGACGGTATCGATGTTGGACCCTCGTTATCCTAATATTAATCATTTTAAGCACAAATTTTAGTTAAATGATTTATTATTTTTAAATTATTTTTAATTTTATACTTATTTAATTTTTATTCACTATTTTTAAAGTATATAAATTATAATGTCGTGTCCAACCCATATTTTTATCCTATATTTTTAATAATTGATGTTTCATGTGTCAATGGCGTGTCTTATCCATGTCGTCTTGTCTGTATCTGTGCATCATATAGGTATCAGTTATATTAATTGTCAAGCAAGAATACATGTTTATCTTATTTGGATGGAAGATGCAATTATCGAGCCACATAGATTGCAAGTTTTTTGTCTATTCCTTATATTGTCTCTTGTCATCGCAGCCGTTGTTTTGTTGCAGCTTGCATAGCATTCTGTCTGAGTTTACGAGTAAATCTGTTGTTGAATCATAATGTTCTGAGCGCATGTCTTTTAACTTGAAGGGGCTATGATGATGGTGCCCAAGCAGATGTTGCAAGGTGATCCTAGGAGGTCTAAATGCAGGCAACTGATTTCCTTGCTGTTTCATACTGCATGTATACATTTTGATAATTCTTCAATAGCAGCAGCAGCAACAGCATCTTCATCATCATCATCAACTTCTTCTTTTTCTTCAGACCTAAAACCAAATGGATCACATGCATTATCAGTCTATATATCATTTTGATGATGAAAAATGGGCAAATCCGAGCTTCCTTATTTGACACAAATGAGATTCTCTAAAATTTGAAACTTTTTGGGAATTTGTATGATTTTAATTGATTCATTTTATGTGAGTTTTCTTAATTAAAATCTTATGGTTTTTATTTTTCTATATTACCTTATTTCATTATAATTCTAATGCATCTTATTATATATATGAATTTCCCAGGGCAGAATTAGGGTATGTTTTGTGGACCTTTTCCTGAAAAAATTTTCCCATTTAAACGTCATTTGGATTTTTGGTGATTTATTAGATTTTTAATTTATTTGTTGCTTATAATTTAAGAAAACCTAATTTGTAAGCCTAAAAAGGTTTGTTCTTATGTTTCTTAAATTCTATGATGTGTTCCTATTATGATATGGGTTGTTTTTTATTTTTAAAATTTTTGTTTATTTATTGGTTATATTATGCAAGAATTCTATGTCCATAGGTGTCTTAAGTTATCTAAAACTAGGATTTTCAAATTTTTTAAGCAAATAAATTAAAATTTTCATGAAATTAAGGCTTTGTTTGGGACGGCTTCCTTTCTGCTTCTTAAAGCAGCTTCCTAGTACAAAAATTTTAATTTTTATACTAAGAAGCTGCTTTAAGAAGCAATAAAAAAGCCGTCCCAAACAAAGCCTAAATCTAGATGCTGAGGATAATCTCTAGATTATATTATGCCATAAAAATTTTAAACCATTTGGACTTTACATGAAAATTACATGATTTTCTCAATTTCTTCCCACCTATTCTTTAGTTAATTTTCTGTGGATGTAAGAAAACTTCTCATGCCTTAGAAAAATTTTTCTTTGATCAAAGAACAGAGTAATCTTTGATAATTTTTTCGAGCCATTTTGTTTTCAAAAGTTCTGGCCATTTGATGGTGCAAGACTTTGAAAATTCAACTAATGTTAATGTAAGATACGTCAAAGAATCTTCCTAGTGAATTTGACCCCTCACGTAGATGATTGTGATAGTCAATTATCCTTTTAAAAATTTGCTTAAATAAAATATATATAATTAAGCCAAAAGCTTTTGAAATAATTTTAAGTTGTGTTAATATTATTTTTTGAATTTGCGTATATATTGCATGCATTTTCTGGATTAAAAATGGCATTACTTTCAATTTTTAAAGTTCCTAATAATTTATAGATTTAGGCTTCGTTTGGGACGGCTTTTTTATTGCTTTATAAAATGAAGTTTTAGTAAATTTATTTATTTATTTTTGTACTAAAACTCCGTTTTAAAAAGCAATAAAAAAGCCGTCCCAAACAAAGCCTTAGTCCGCGTGTTCTTTCCTCTTAGTGGCTGCTATTGGTTTTTGCTTAAGGAAGTAGAATTGCATGCCATGCCAACAAATCGCTGCTATCTGATCTTTAGATCAAAACGCTCAGATCAAAGTTACTTAATTTTTTGATGGATTTTTCCGCCAAAAATCTGCCGGTAAGGGACCAATTTTCGAGTTCTTTCTTCCAAAACATAATATTTCCACGTGGTTTATTGCTCATTTTTAACTATTTCTTCGAGATTTAAGAGGTAAAACTCGTTCTTTTACTTATTTCTCTTTTTTGGGTTCTTAAACTTTCAGAACATATGCAATGTTGATATTTGTGACTAGAGA